AGAGCTGATCTCATTGAGCCTCGTGAATTTAAACACTACCTGAATGATGGTGACTCTCCAGTCTGAACCGCTTGCCATAACCCCTTCCTAGAATCTCTGGCTTATGCATCCCTGAACGTCTCCACTTGAAGTCTAATAGGCATGTCAGACTCAACTTGTCCCTGACCAAATTCAACTTCTCCCCACTCCAGTCTCCGTTTCTTCTTCCATCTTATCCATCTCAAAACACAGGTACCACCATCCACCAAGCGGCTAAAGGAAAAATCTCAGAAGTATCTCTGATCCTTATCTTTCCCTCCACCTTCACATTTAACCCATTAGTAAAGAATTTGGCACCTTGGATTCATTCATCTCTCCTGATCCCCATAGTTAAAATCCTTGTTCCAGCTACTGTCATCAACCTCCTATAGATTACTGCACACGCTAACTCCTGTTCTCCTTCTTTCCATTTTGGCCCCTCCACAGACAAAAACCCTATACTCCTCGAAACACCCAGAGTTCCACTTAAAAAAATAATAAAACGACAGTACTTCTCTGCATAGGTTGTAAAATCTAAAGGCTTTCCATTATCCTGAGAATAAAACCTTCCCTGGTTTACAGAGAGGTCTGTGTCCCGGTGCTGGACTACATTTCTGAGCACATTTGATGCCCTTCACATACCATGCCCAACTCTGAATGCTCCCAATTCACTTGGGCTTCTTTCCTTTCCTCATTAGATCAAGCTTGAACCCACCATAGAGTCATTGCACTGGGCATTTCCTTTGAACTTTTCTTTGCTTTTACTTTGGTGTCTCTGACTCCCCATCATTTAGATCTCAGTTAAACTGTCACCTCTTCTGAAAAGCCATTCCTGGCCACGCACTCCAGAGCAACCACTGGCTCTTTCAAATTCAGCAGACCACTCACCACCATCTGACTTCTTTTGTTTAATTATTAACTCATCTATTTTCTGGCTTACTAAATAAAACTCCAAGCTTCAGGAATGCTGTGGCTTTGATTAATACTTGATTATTGTTCTAACTACCTTAGTGTTTGTTTAGATCATTGCCTAATTTGTGTGTCGAAAGTATTCAATACTTTGTTAAGTAAATGAATGGATGAATGAATATTTTAAGAGCAAAAACATATCTTCATTTTAAAAACTAAACTTCTGTATGATGATGGCTGATCAAAGCAAGGTGTCTTCAGAGAGGCAAGGTTGATTTAAAAAAATATCAACAAGAAAATTTCTATTAGTCTTTTCAGTTTTGCAATATTTTCCCTTACAGTGCCCTGCTTATTTCTTTTACTGTAACACCCATCACTATTAACTCTATTTTCTATATATCTATTTGCTTAAAATTTATCTCTCCATACAAAAAGATGTAAGCTCTAGTAGGGAAGTGATTTTGTCTCTCTCTTTTCAACACTAAATGCACAATCTCGGATAGTGACTTGAACAGACACTCAAACATTTTTGTCGAATGAGTGAGTTCATAAGGTATAGTTGAAAGTGATGGATTTAGTTCCTCTCAATTGCAGTGAGGAAACAAAAGTACTTAGGTAGAAGAAATAAACCACGTATTTTATGTAAACACTTTTGATTATGGATGTTGTTATATGTTCCTCTAACTCAAATTCTCTTAGACCTCAGGCAAGTCATTAAGAATATTTTGCCTTAGATTTCACTCCTTGAAAAATGGGAATTAAAAGAAATAAACAAACCAATTAAAATTATCTTATCTTTTTAGAGTAAGCTCAACTTGAGAGTTCAGTAATTACCACCAACTGATTATCATTCAGGAATAAATGAGCACAAAGAAGAAAGTGAAAACGAAGGAAGAAAAAAGTCTGAGGGGCAATTTTTGCTCTGCTAAGGATAAGACTTGCTTTGTTGAATTTGTTCATAAAGGCTCTAAAGTCTGGGGAAATGCTTCTGGGCAACAAAGCAAAGTTTTGAAGCTTACGGGTCTAAGGAGAAATTAATAAAATGCAGTGGGGAAATTAAGTTGAACAAAAGTGCATTGAGGCATAGTTAAACCAATTAATTAAACAGGTTTTGATATGTATATAACTGGGTTGCTGAAGAATTAAAAGTAAATCCAGGATTTTTAATAAGTATTTGGTATTCAAGAAAACACCAAACAGTTACATGAAGATAACTGGTAGTTTTTTTTAGTAGTGTTCTGTGGTGAATTTCTTCCTCATTTATATGCCTTACCACCTTTCTTTTTTTATTATTAATCTTAAAGAAGTTATGCTTTCAATAGTATGAAAAATCTTAGGCTTTCCTTGATTCTCCTCTACATTCTTCTTATGTCAATGTCAGAACCATGGTATTTCTTGCAGTATCAACGAAGAAAAGATTTGCTTTTCAGGAATATGTTTACAATTTTTTAGGAAGCAATGATGATTTGCTTAATATACCTGCTTTTTAAGCAAGCATTTGCTTGTTTAATACACTTGCAACCTGGTAGGTGTGAGGCAGAGCAGGTGAGATAGCAATACCAAAAGCCTAGAGTCACACAGATAGAGGTTCAATCCCACTTATCACTTGAGAGCTGTGAGATCCCACAGGAGTAACTTAGCTTCTATTAATCTGTTTTCCCCACTGTGAAAATGTTAAGTGTAACATTTGAAAATTCCTTGGCGTAATTTCTGGCAGAGAAACTCTCAATATAATGGAAGCATTAACAGGTAGAAGATGATTCCAAATTGTGGATATGTTTGTTGTTGTTGTTGTTTTTGAGTTGGAGTCTCACTCTGTTGCCCAGACTAGAGTGCAGTGGCCGCTCACGGCCACTGCAGTCTCTACCCACTGGGCTCCAGCGATCCTTCTGCCTCAGCCTTCCGAGTAGTCGGAATTACAGGCACGCGCTACCATGCCCGGCTGATTTTTTGATTTATTGTAGAGATGAGGTCTTGCCAAGTTGCCCAGGCGGGTCTCGAACCCGCAGGCTCAGGCAATCCACTCATCTCAGCCTCCCAAAGAGCAGGATTACAGGCTGAGCCACGAAGCCCGGCTTGTGGATATGTTTTGAATGCTGAAATTGTTTGTTAGGAACTTTAAACATATATTCCCATCAAAAAATATATATACTTAAAAAAATAAAATGGGTAATGGCAGGCAGATGTACAGATGAATCTTCAAAAACTTCACTGACCATAATATTTTCTCTGTCAATAATTATACTAATCATACTGAGTTTAGAGTGGTCAATTTGTCTGGGTTTTCCCGGGACTTTCCTGGCTTTCATACTGACAGTCCCTCATCTTGGGAAACTCTTCAGTCCCAGGCAAACCTAATTATGATTCCTTCATTTGGAACTTAATCATTATTCATCTGCTCATCCATTTTTTTTCCTGCAGTACCAGATACATTCTTAGGCTCTGAAGATATAAAGACAAATTGGATATGGTCTTTGCTTTTAATAAGCCTAGCACCTAGCAAAGAAGACAGACAAATGAAGAAGTGTCTGCAAGCCCTACACTAAATGCTAATGATAGCAGTTTGCCCAGGATACAGAGAAACATGGGGCATAGGTACTTTACACAGACTCAGATGAGATAACCACTAAACTGCATCTTGAAGTAGGTACGCAACCCAAACCAAGGCCTTCTGCTTAATTCTTTTGGACATTTTCCATTTCTGAGCTCAGTATTACTTATTACATATTAAAATGCTGTCTCTTTCGATTCTCTTATGTCGTTATCTAAACAGATTTTGAATAACTTCTGATCTGCATATAATCTTTATGGAATCTTTGCAAAACATAAATATAAATAACCATAAACCTTTGATTTTTATAGCAGTTCCTCCCACTCTGAATATATAACTAAGTCGAAATCGCCTTTTAAAAATGCAAACTGCATGCCTGCTTTTTTATTATTTGGAACTCATTTCACAAAGGAAATTACTGGAAGAACAAGTTAAATTGGAAACAAAACAAAGGTTATCATATGTAATATTGTTTTAGATACACGACTGCAGTGTTTGCCCTAACGTTAGCAAGTTAAAATGTTTCCGAAAGCTTGTTATCAAAATATTGGCCATCTATTTTTCATTCCTCAATAACTTTTAAAGTATTCCTGGAACACGCCTTTATCACTACAGCAAATGCTGCAGCAAGAAGAAGATAAGACACAGACTGGTTATACAACCAAAAGTGCTAGTGTAACATTCACTAACAGCATGAATACTCGCTTTTCCACCTGAGGGAAGAAGCAGATTTTTCATAGACTTTGAAGGTGAATCAGGGACTTATTTCCAGACAGACTGTAAATTTCACTGGGAACGGGGACCACATCGATTTTGTTCACTGTTGTGTTCCCAGTGCCTGGGACATAATTGATAAGCAAAATGGTGGAGTGTATAATACAACAGATTTACAAGTCTTCAACTTGATTTCTAACAAATAATCATTCCATCTCTGGAAAATCCTCTTTGCTACTTAAGAAAATCAGTAAACTTCTTCGACATCAGCAAATTACGTGGGCTAAATTTCAAAGTCAGTTAGTTATAACGTGAAGCCAAAACTGCATGCTCTATTTATGTAGACGTCAGAAAGTGTCAGCCTTAGATTACATCCCTAATCTTGGCTAATAACCTTTGAGATGTTGCACAGGAATTTACTAAGAATGTTAATGTAATTCTCATAAACCACCCTTGCTATGAAGAGGATATCTCATGCCATACTTTCTGTAGAATATAGGCCAAAATCATCAATTTATAGACTCATCAACTATAATCATCATATACCTTAAGTCTCATAGACAATTAGAAATATATGTCAGATTATGATATTATAGATTACCAAGGTTCTTAGCAATTGTGAGCACTCAGACAAAGGAAAATATTAAAATTCCTACTTCTGAGGTTTTTTTTTACTGTTTGGTCATGATATAAACATAGTTTTTGACACACATATGCTTGTTAATACATACATAATCTGGTTGACATCCATTTAACATTCAATGAGAGAGCAGTAGTCTTCTGAAAATAAGTTTTATGATTTTTTTACCTTTGAAGTTTACTACACCAACTGCAGTTGAATCCGATCTGAGAAGAGACACAGGAACCACAACCATTAAACTGGAGGCAAGCTAGGAAACAGGAGAGAATAGATTCATCAGGACGAATTGGCAGTTTTCAGGAGTGGGGTGGGGTGAGGGAAATGCTCAACCAAAATAAAAATCACCATCTGTCCCCATATTCTCTCAGGATCAAAATACCCATGAATGCCAAACACAATTATGATAATTATATAATTAACACAATTATTATAATTATTGAACAAATCCTCAAACTTGCAAATCATTTTTTCCACCTATATTCACATATTAACTTACTAGGTAATGGGGTCATCTCCACAGCTGAAATGTTGGTAATTTTTGACATTTGTAGCTCTACTCGGTGGTATTCATAAATTGTTCTTCTTCGAACATCTAGCAAAACAAAAATGGGGAAAAATCAGCTTTCAACATTCCTCCACCAATAAGACAATAGCACTTTAGTAATGAATGTAGAATTATATATGTTTCATCTCATGCAATTTTAAAGTTAAGCCTTAACCTGTGAGGAGATTGGAAAAAAAATTTAAAACTAAAAATCATATCTATATGTAATCAATCTACAAAGAGAGTTAAATTTTTATTGAATTTATTATACCCAGTGATAATCTCTTCTAGGACAGAACAGGGTGTGGTAGCCCAGAAGAGTTGCCTTTTCATAAATGTGTTCAGAAAAAGTAAGATTACTAGAAATCTAAGAGGTGTCAGAAGGACATCAAACTTTACTTATATCTATGAATATCTCTAATTTTCTCTACTTCTATTATTCTCCAAGAGATTCTACTCCAAAAGAAGTGGAGAGAAAGATAAAACACTTTGAGGGCTAGAAGTAGATTTAGGACATCACTGAAAATATTTTCAGTGTTGTCAGATTTGAAAACATTGTTTAAAAACCCTAATCCAATTAATTTCTTTATTGGCATAACTGAAAGAAGCATATAAACTCTTCAAAGAATAAATTCATCAAAAATTAGAGAAAATGTTGGCTTTACTGTATTTAGTAAGGTTTCATAAGGTGTATAATAATTATATCTTGTTAATAAATTTTAAGGCAGCTTCATCTCTACAATAAATCAAAAACTTAGCCGGGCGTGATAGCGCGCGCCTGTAATTCCAGCTACTCGGAAGGCTGAGGCGGAAGGATCGCCGGAGCCCAGCAGGTCGAGGCTGTGGTGGCCGGGAGCGGCCACTGCACTCCAGTCTGGGCGACAGAGTGAGACTCCAACTCAAAAAAAAAAAAAAAAATGTAAGGCAGATAAAAAATTACTCATCATCTATCTTTGTATAAATGAGTTCCTATATCTTTCTTTCCCATGTATTTTGCTAAACAATTTAATTCTGGGAATAAGTTAATTATGGCCTTTCCATGAAATCACTAGAATAAATGTAGATGGCGTTTCTTGAGTCTTCATACTAAAGTTTTCACAGTATCTACATTTTTTAGTGCTTAAAACATTGGTATTATTTTCATTTAATATTATACTTTGAAAATTTCAACTATCAACAATGATTATGAAGCTTCTAAGAGATAATTATTGATCCTGCATATGGAGTAATATGCTCATTCTATTATCTGCTCAGAGACCTCCAACTATTGGGAGGAGATGAATTTAGCAAAACCAACGTTAATGAGATTAATTTTTGTTTGATAACCTGCCAATTAATGACAGCAGAGATACCCCTGTTAGAAACAAATCACTAGGAATTTATTTACTGGTTGCCCTGCCAATGCTAGAAGCTTTCATTTGATTCCAGAAATGTATTTAGCAAATTTATCTTCTTCAAAAAATAAGCCATAATAATGTTGAGTAAAACATTCAATCTCAGTGATAGTGATACAATTTTAATTCTTCTCTGAAAATTTACAAAACCAAGGTCAACTACAATTCTCACTCATTAGGAGCTTTTAAAGATTAAAAAATAAACAAATCTGAGCAGATTAACAAATAGAGAAATTATAGTTCAGTGATCAAAATCATAAGATGATGTGATTCAAAGTGCAAATACTGAATTGCATGTTTTAGAAACCTGATCAATATCAGCAGGATGGACAGAGTGATCATATGGAAACACCAAGGATCCTCATCGATCAATATCCATTTTAGAGGAAATGAACACAGACTGAGTACCCTGAGGAGTGATTAGCCATGATCTAGTTTATTTGCCTGTTTTGAAAGCTAACATTCACACAGAGAGTAGATCGGGAATTTTCTAAATTGCCCTATTTTTATATTTGTATAAATATTTTAATATTTTGTTTGAATTTTCAGGCAAATGATTTGCTAATATTTCCTTATTGATGTGTTGCCAATGTTTAATGACTCGCCCCAAATAATTATACCTCATTTCTTTTCCAGTTCAAATTGAGCCTGACACTAGCACTGTTTATTGAGTACGCTTTAACATAAATAGCCTATATTGCACAACTACAAGGTTCATTTCCAGCATGAATACTCAAGAAAAGAGACCCTTGAGATAAAAATGACACTATTACAGCAGTTATAAGTTTCTCACACAAAAATCCAATACATTAGCAGAATTAGCTAGTTGCAGCTGTTAAGTAAAGCACCTACAAATAAAAAATGCATTAGCCACAATCATTTTTTAAAAAATTCCTCTGTAGTTCTAATTCAAGCAAATAATAATGTCGCCAGGCATTCGATAAAACAAAAACTTTTGGTGACCATGAAGTGCTAAGTAAACCTGTTAGGTTTTCCTTTCATCATTCCCCCACTGATTTTGAAGTTTCGAGACACTATTAAAACCTAAATGATCAGGTTTCTTAAGTTACTTGAATGTGCATAAAGGAAATAAAAAACTGGATCTAAGACATTCTCACTTTTCTCTTCCTCCTATGTATATTTTACTAATGGCTTAAACAATCTGTATTCCCTGACTTCCTTCAGTAATCACTTTACCCTGGACTTCAAATGTTACCAACATGTAGAAATGATAAATACTCAAGGTGATGGATGCCCCAAATACCCTGACTTGATCATTAAACATTCTATGCATATAAAAATACTCACATGTATCTCATAAATATGTACAATATTATGTATCAATAAAATAAATGAAAAAGAGAACCAGAACCAGTAGTGGGACAGTGAATGGTCTATGTTGTGCCACACTGAGCCAGTACTAGACATGGGCTGCAGACCTGTGACCAATGGCATGGCTCTGTTGGCCCACGGTTGTTTTTTTTGAATATGGTGTTTTCCAGGGGGACACACCTTTCTGCTACTGAGACTTATGAGAAGATTGTGTAATATACATTTGTCATATCATTAAATCAATCTCTCTCTCTCTCTCTCTCTCTCTCTCTCTCTCTCTCTCTCCTGAGAGAAAGGAGATTGTGACTTCATTAAATAAAATTGGGTGTGTTGGGGTTCAGAAGACAATATCCAAAATGAAAGCCTCAGAAGCAAAACTTTTTCTCTGACCTTTCTCTGCCCTCCAGTTGCCCTCTCAGTTCCATTCTCCCCCCGACTAGTCAAAGAAACTAGAATCCCTTTTCCCCAAAGTGGATCATAGAAACCTGAACCCCTTTTCCCCAAAGCCATCCATAATACCAAATAATATCAGTCTAACTTTCTCTATGCCTTTCTGTGCAAAAACTGACCAGAAGAAATTATCTGATGTACCCTGTTTGACTGTAGGTTACAAGACCCCCATTCCAGAGAAAGCCCTGCCCTATATGCAAAAATAAAAAAAATCTATGCTCAGAGAAGCCAAGAAACATCTAGATAGAAAGTCCTTGTTTCCCCACTAAGTCTATCAGCATTTAATTGCACACTTTTTGTCCAATCATATTTCTACATAGCTATCCATACTGTTGAATCTAAGTGGCAAAAATGGATAATGACCCCCTGTATCTTTGGTTATTCATTCTGAAGGCTCCCATGTGTACACATAATATAAATTTGTTGCCTTTTCTCTAGTTAATCTGACTTTTGTCAGCTGATTTTTCAGGAAACTATTAAGGGGCCAAAGGGAACTTCCAGTTCAGAAATACAGTAAGATTTTTTTAATTTTAAAATCAAGTAATCAAAAAGAAACATTAAGTGCTAAATCATTTAGATGTTTGGCACTTCTGTGAAGAAAAAAAATCTTAAATTTTCTTCTTTTCTTTTTCCTTCCTTCTTTCCTTTCTTCTTTCTTTCTTTCTTTTGTTTTTTTTTTTGATACATCATTTCAAGAAACATAACTTCCTATAGCAAAATTCAACTGGAAAAAATGGCATGCAGGCATGTCTATAAATGGAGGCAACCAGTATTAGTTAAAAAATAGAGATAGTCCTTGTGTTGTAGGAAAGTGTAAGCAAAACTAAAAATACTCAATATGTAATAGGGGAAAAGTAAGAAATAATTAAGGTAAGGGAAATTACAAATTTGAAGGCAAGTAGGAAAAAGTAGAAAAACTAATATCTGAGGTCATAATTTAAAACAAAAGGCAGATAAAATTGCAAAGAAAAAGCCAGTCTAGATTATCTTTGAGAACTGTTTTGGCTACTTTCCAATGCCTTCCATAATAAGGCAACCGTAGAATGTGGTTTGCAAATATAAACTTCTGATTCACTATTTTGAATAAAATAGTAACACATTAAGTTTGTTTTTTTCTTTTTTTAGATTATAAAATCTTGTCCCAATAGGAAGTCAATAAATATGTTGAATGAATAAATGTTTACTTCCTTGTTTTTTTTTTTTTGTACAACAGCACAGTGACATCTTTGCACTTTTAACAATGTATCAAAGTTCTTCCCATGACTTTTAGGATTTTATATTAGAAATAAAAAATTTAAGCTTTATTAAATAAACTGAGATACAAGTTTACACTGGCCAAAATTCACTTTATCAGAGAGTGCTGTACAGGATGAAATGTTAATGAATGAATACATAAAATGAAATAGAGAACTTAACCATAAGTCCCTGAAGGAACACTTTTTTTGTTCACAGAATCTCTAAAAAAAAGCTCAGATATGTTGTAATTGATTAATTAGTGATTTCTAATATCCAGAAACATCTTAGATTTTTATTTCTGTTTAAAAATCCAGTCAGGGTCAAACAAACAGGGTACTTGCAAAATGTATGTACTCAAACAATAAAATATCATTTTGCACAATGCTTTCTTTCTGTCTTGGAAGTGTTTCATGAAAAGTTACTTTATGAAAAAAATGCCATGATTTCTATTTATTTCTCCTTTTGTTGAAACTTTGGCAAGCTAGCGCATACTTGAGAACCGAAGCACCTAATGCAATTGTGCTGTAAAGAGAAGTGATTTTATCTTCTGTAAAATGAATAATTTTGAAGGGTTTTCTATTTTGAGGAAAGTGAAGGTAAGGGGATACGATTTACTGCAGATTTGTAGAATATCGA